GCTTTCATTACATCAAGTGTTCAATCATCTACCACTTAATTTGCTTTCATTACATCTAGTGTTCAATCATCTACCACTTAAACCACTCAATTTGCTTTCATTACATCAAGTGTTCAATCATCTACCATTTAATTTGCTTTCAATAGTGCTCAATCATCTACCACTTAATTTGTTTTCAATAGTGCTCAATCATCTACCACTTAATTTGTTTTCAATAGTGCTCAATCATCTACCACTCAATTTGCTTTCAATAGTGCTCAATCATCTACCACTTAATTTGTTTTCAATAGTGCTCAATCATCTACCACTCAATTTGCTTTCAATACATCTAGTGTTCAATCATCTACCACTCAATTTGCTTTCAATAGTGCTCAATCATCTACCACTCAATTTGCTTTCAATAGTGCTCAATCATCTACCACTCAATTTGCTTTCAATAGTGCTCAATCATCTACCACTCAATTTGCTTTCAATACATCTAGTGCTCAATCATCTACCACTCAATTTGCTTTCAATACATCTAGTGCTCAATCATCTACCACTCAATTTGCTTTCAATAGTGCTCAATCATCTACCACTTTATTTGTTTTCAATAGTGCTCAATCATCTACCACTCAATTTGCTTTCAATACATCTAGTGCTCAATCATCTACCACTTAATTTGTTTTCAATAGTGCTCAATCATCTACCACTCAATTTGCTTTCATTACATCTAGTGTTCAATCATCTACCACTCAATTTGCTTTCATTACATCTAGTGTTCAATCATCTACCACTCAATTTGCTTTCATTACATCTAGTGTTCAATCATCTACTACTCAATTTGCTTTTAATACATCTAGTGCTCAATCATCTACCACTCAATTTGCTTTCAATACATCTAGTGCTCAATCATCTACCACTCAATTTGCTTTCAATACATCTAGTGTTCAATCATCTACCACTCAATTTGCTTTCATTACATCTAGTGTTCAATCATCTACCACTCAATTTGCTTTCATTACATCTAGTGCTCAATCATCTACCACTCAATTTGCTTTCATTACATCTAGTGCTCAATCATCTACCACTCAATTTGCTTTCAATACATCTAGTGCTCAATCATCTACCACTCAATTTGCTTTCAATACATCTAGTGTTCAATCATCTACCACTCAATTTTGCTTTCATTACATCTAGTGTTCAATCATCTACCACTCAATTTGCTTTCAATACATCTAGTGCTCAATCATCTACCACTTAATTTGTTTTCAATAGTGCTCAATCATCTACCACTTAATTTGTTTTCAATAGTGCTCAATCATCTACCACTCAATTTGCTTTCATTACATCTAGTGTTCAATCATCTACCACTCAATTTGCTTTCATTACATCTAGTGTTCAATCATCTACCACTCAATTTGCTTTCAATACATCTAGTGTTCAATCATCTACCACTCAATTTGCTTTCATTACATCTAGTGTTCAATCATCTACCACTCAATTTGCTTTCAATACATCTAGTGCTCAATCATCTACCACTTAATTTGTTTTCAATAGTGCTCAATCATCTACCACTTAATTTGTTTTCAATAGTGCTCAATCATCTACCACTCAATTTGCTTTCATTACATCTAGTGTTCAATCATCTACCACTCAATTTGCTTTCATTACATCTAGTGTTCAATCATCTACCACTCAATTTGCTTTCAATACATCTAGTGTTCAATCATCTACCACTCAATTTGCTTTCATTACATCTAGTGCTCAATCATCTACCACTCAATTTGCTTTCAATACATCTAGTGCTCAATCATCTACCACTCAATTTGCTTTCAATACATCTAGTGTTCAATCATCTACCACTCAATTTGCTTTCATTACATCTAGTGTTCAATCATCTACCACTCAATTTGCTTTCATTACATCTAGTGCTCAATCATCTACCACTCAATTTGCTTTCATTACATCTAGTGCTCAATCATCTACCACTCAATTTGCTTTCAATACATCTAGTGCTCAATCATCTACCACTCAATTTGCTTTCAATACATCTAGTGTTCAATCATCTACCACTCAATTTGCTTTCATTACATCTAGTGTTCAATCATCTACCACTCAATTTGCTTTCAATACATCTAGTGCTCAATCATCTACCACTTAATTTGTTTTCAATAGTGCTCAATCATCTACCACTTAATTTGTTTTCAATAGTGCTCAATCATCTACCACTCAATTTGCTTTCATTACATCTAGTGTTCAATCATCTACCACTCAATTTGCTTTCATTACATCTAGTGTTCAATCATCTACCACTCAATTTGCTTTCAATACATCTAGTGTTCAATCATCTACCACTCAATTTGCTTTCATTACATCTAGTGCTCAATCATCTACCACTCAACATATCTCAATGAATTATGTGTTCAACCAGCTACTGATAACTTGTTTGTCATGTGTGCCAATATACCAGTGAAGAATGAAATGAAAGAGCAGAACTTACTTAGCAAACAAATAAACAAAATTGCTGGGTGCACTTACGGGGGGGGGGGGGGGGGGGGACCCCAGATCTAGGCAGCTATCAGAAGCTACTGGAACACTTGAACTTAAAATATTTAAAAAAAAACTGCTTTAACTTGCCATGAGAGCTTGGCTTTATTTGCGTCCTTGTTCCTTTGCGGTTTGGTAGTATCCTTTTTTTGTGTGTGGCATGTGAATACGCCTCCTGTATTGATACTTTGCTCTCCTTGCCATTGTCAGTTTTGGAGCTGATTCCTTTGCTGAGTGTCAAACTCGCCGTCACTGACTCCACCAGTGAGGCCACCAATTGCACCCTTCCAGAACATACACTGTTGCTTCCACGCTGTGCCGATGTGTTCTTTAATGCGGACCTTACCCTCGTTTCTACTTAGCCCGATATCTACAGTGTTGAGGCTATGAGTCCCTCTCTTTGCACCTGGTCCGCTCATTCGTTGTCTGAAATACCTCTGTGGGTCCAGCATATTGTGACAGGGCATGTGGTAGAGCTCGGTTGTGACAGGATTCTTTTTTTGACATCGGGTCAGCTGCATTTTCCAAGTCCCCCCAGAGCCATCATCGAGGCCATCGAGTCTGTAAGGATGCATAATTTGGCCTGTGGGTCAGCTGCATGGGCAGGTAGTCTGAAGTGTTGTTCTAGGACCCGGTCGGGTATGACTACTCCGGCCCCAGCCTCTCTATTCTGATTTTTTGAAACGTCTGTGTAGACTGCTAGGGAGCCTGCAATTAGTGTACTGATGTGCTCGTCTGCTAGGCTCCTGACTTGGCTGGGGTCAGAGTTTTTGTAAATTTTCCTGGCGAGGCTGGTATCAGATGTCAGTAATCGTAGCATTCAGGGTGGGACCGTGCGGGTGAACTTTTTGTGGCATGAGATCGCCTCTGCTGCATCTGCTGGCTGAGATTCCCTGGCGGTGATCCAGGCTGTCAGGCACCTAAATTTCTGTAGTGGCTTTGTTTTGTCTCCCATGGGGTACTGATTAGACCGGTGGGCTTTGGTGGCTGAGTGATCTGGAAGGAGGCCCGTGCTCATCCAGTAATTGTATGTTAGTTGATTCCTTCTAAGCTTCAAATGGGGGACACCTAGGGTGACTTCTATAGCCTCCCTGCTGGTCGATCTGCTTATGCCATGGTACTGCAATCTTCTTTTTCTCATAGTCCAAGCTCTGTGGCATTCCTAGACATGTCTCTCCACAACCTTCAGCCTTGTGTCCCTTTAATCAGTTCTGACACAGATGGTCTTCCATGCCATGATGTCAAATGGTCCAGTATCTTCTCTCACAATCTCCCTCTGCCCCACCATCACAGTGTACTCCATTTTTCTCCATCTCTTGACATGACCACAGAATGTAGATCGTCTGATGTGGGCAGTCAGTTTTCTTTGTGAGTCAATTTCTTTCAGGATATCTTTATTACTATTTTTATCTGTCCAGTGTGTTCTCATCCTTCATCTAAAAAAACCACATTTCTGCCACTTCCACATCATTTTTGACTTCCCAGTCAGAACAAGAACCCTGAACATCCAATCAGCCTCGTTGCATGAAGTAAACAGATCACTGCATTTAGAGTATGAATTGGCCATATGCATAGAATATTCAAGATTGGGGACTCAGAACTTTATCCATACGAACAGCACCACAGAACACTGAATATGTGCTGCAGCCATGCTCTCTGCCTGCAGTAGGAAAATCCCAGGTCTGGCCAATTAGAATTTTGGTGAAAACCAAGTTGCATAAACCAGTGGAGGGCATGTGACATACTACAACCTTCAAGAGGCCTACGACCTTCTCGTATGAAAAACCACTGGCAGGTAGAACAACAATAATCAGAATAAATAAGGAGTATTTAAATTACTGGAGACTTGTTGAAAACAGGTTCCATTGGACAGACGTGATCACATGAATTTAACATATCTTTAGTCTTATTATTAACTCTTTAGTATTCAATTTGCAATTTTTATTCTAACCATGTCTAAAAAACGTCTGAGTTTGAAGGAGGCAAAACAATACCACAATGAGATGTAGGAATTAACTCTTCTGGCCCAAATCAAGGCTCCATGTTTCAGCCAGTAGCAGCCAATGTGTTATAACATCTTTTACATTTGGTCAAATTTACTAAAGAATATACCTGGCCAGATATGCACATTGCATATGGTGTCTCTATAAAAGTATGACATGCTCTTTTTTTTTGTGCTATGCTTTTTTCCCTCTTGGCTTTATGCAATGAAATTGTATGGGATTCAAAGAGTCAAATTAACAGTTGGGGTAGAGTTGGTTAGCAGAACAACTAGATGGGTCAAAAACAGTTCAGATAAAATGTCAACAGAACCAACAAAGATACAGTGAGCTGCTTGGTACTGATTCAATTAAACTGATAATGTTGATATGTATCCTAAAGTAAATGTTTACCTAATTTTGCATGCATGTTTTAAAAATAATTTCAGCAGGGAAAAATTATCACACAAGTAAATACTGTGCACTCTGAAATCAATACTGCTCCATGTTTCTTTCAGGATTATAGTCTGGACTCTTCCCAGCATTAGCTCCAGCTTCCTGCCTTGCTCGCTTCCATGTCAGAAACAAAAATACGCCTATTGCAACAAAGCATCCTGTAGCGAAGAAGCCAAAGGCCTAGAAAGAGAAAAAGTGCAAGCAGCTTGTTAGCATGAATGTAGATTATCAACTGTCTATATTATACCACTTTTGAAGAAAATGCTGAACCAGTGACTCATTATCATTTATCAGCAGAGTCTTTACAGAATGTCACTCTCATTGCAGCATGCCAGAGTCTCTCTTTCTTTAGCCAGTCCTTAAGTATTCATGCGCTTTCATAGACAATGCATCTTCAGTGTCTTGCACCCACTAACACAGAGGTCTTGTACCAAATTTCACAGAGGTCTTGTGCTGACTTTCACAGAGATACCCACTTTCACAGAGGTACCCACATTCACAGAGGTCTTATACTCACTTTCACAGAGGTCTTGTACCCACTTTCACAGAGGTCTTGTACCCACTTTCACAGAGGTCTTGTACCCACTTTCACAGAGGTCTTGTACCCACTTTCACAGAGGTCTTGTACCCACTTTTACAGAGGTCTTGTACCCATTTTCACAGAGGCCGGTTTCTGCTTCACTGTCCAGAAACTGCAACCTCCATCACTGTTCTCTCTGGGCCACCATGATGCATAATGAGGCTAAAATACCTCACCTTTCTGGGACAGATTCTGTGAGTGGACCAGTTCTCCTCAATGTTCACATCATGCAGGATGTTGATGTGTTTTTTTTTTGTTTGGTCCATGGTATACTAAGAATTTTTATGTAACATGTCAGTTTAAAAGCTCCTTTTCTTCTTCAATAACTGAGTAAGAGTCCATGATTCATGTCCACAAATTGCCATGAGAAAGCTTCATGATCTCAAATTTTTTACTTTAAACTCATTTGCTGGTGGAAGTAGTGACTAGAACAGGTAAAATCACAAACAGTCATAGAGAAAATGTCAACAAAGATCCTATATTAAATAACACAATTGAGCAAATAAAATGTGGCTGGTTGAGGTGACCAGAAAAATAAAAATACCGACATCCAAAGCTGTAAAAGAAAAGATGAAAAAACAAGTTGTAGAAGTTAAAATAGCTAAACAGACAGTGATTTGGTTGATGTAGAAAGAGTTCATGAATTTACAGATTTACAATATCAAAGGCTAACCTATGTAAAATTGGCAACTAGAAATTAGATGCCTGAGGAAAGCCACCAACTTAACCATCTGAGACAAACTGAGAAAAAATGATACTATCAGACAGCTGCAGGAACAACACCATGCATCAAAACTATTGAGAAACAGAAAATCTGATGGCTTGATCATCTCTTTAGAATACAGCCACTACAACTACCAACACAGGTACTACACATGGAAAAATCTTATGTAAAATCAAGAGGTTATCCTAGCAGAATATGGACTGATGACATTAAAGATCTTGTATATTCGCAAAGAATGACAAAAGCCTTTTGCTACTCATCAAGCAATGGATGTAAACTCTTCCTCCCCATGACACCTAACAGCAAAAATGGAAGCTGCTGTTGATGAAAAATAAATTGTTGTTGATTCCTTAAAATTATAAATGCCATACATTTTTGTCACCTCAGAGTTGCTGTCCAAAGATTTGACACCCTGAGATTAAAAACTCTCAATCTGGATGGCAGACCAAAAGGGGAAAGCCTAACTACCTTGTTCAACCTCCAATAAAGGTGCCAGTCGAACGCATTCCAGTGTTTGTAACTAATTTTTAACTGTTGTTGATGACGTTAATATTATGCAACCTATTACACTTATAAAATTTTTGGGTTAGGTTTATTACTATACATTATTAAGTGTTCAGTAATTAAGTATAACTGGAGCACATTCCAGCATTTGTAATTAAGACTTAGATGTTCTGAACATTTTAAAATTATTTTTACACTGAGCTGATGTAAGAATGAATAACGTTATGCAAGGAGTGGACTGGAAGGGCTGAATGTTAGACAGGCCTGGGTGCCCAATTCTAAACCCTATGAAAATAAAGTTTGTTCGTTCATCCAAAAAAGTTAAAATCACAGCACCCGTATCAGCTATGCCAGGCAGGTCAAGATCTAGATTTACCTATATAAAATACCATATATGAGTAATAAATGTTTACAAAGGGCAAGAAACTGAAATATTAATGCTGGACAAAAATAATTTCACAGCATGATTGTCAAAAGCTGAAGTTATGAAACAAACAGTTTGATTTTTTAATAAAATGTGAAAAACAACAGCTACCAAAGCAAAGTGGTTAATATCTGATTAGTAGGTTTTGTTCATATTATCATATGCTGAAGGTTACTGAAGCTATCCACATTCACTTTTCCCTGTATATTTTGTTTCTCTTGCCAAGTATTCTCCTCTACAAGGCTCCCAATCCCTCTTTATTTCATCTTATCTGTAGATTCCATTTCTTCTTATCGCCCATCCATGTGCCACTGGTAATGTCTTTCTAAGGCCTTTTATCTCAGATACTTTCAAATGTTTCTGACACAGAAGGTCCTCCATGACATCATGCCCAACTGTCCAGCATCTTCTTTATTGATCTCCCCCTGCCTAATTTCCTGCTTTTACAATGTACCCTAGTTTTTTCTTGCTCATGACGTGATAAAGAATTTAGATTGTCTTCTTTTAATGTGAGTAATCAGTTCTCTTCATGAGTTTATTTCATCAAGCCATATTAATTACTCCTTTTTTTTTTTTAATCTGCCCATGATATTATCATAATTTGTCTATAAAACCATATCTCTGCTGCTTCCACATAACTTTTTTTTTTCGTCATTGTTTTACAAATCATTCGCATAATACCTGCCTCAGTGATTTATTTCTCATATTTCAATTTGTTCTCATGCATTTATTCAGAAGAAGTCACATATATCCTTCAATAAGCTGATTTTCAAACTTGTCCTGATATAGGTATTAGAAAAGTAGTTACATATAGGTATTAGAAAAGTAGTTGCATAAAAAGTCTATGATTAAGCACCTGCAAGAAAATGAAAGTACATTTTAAGAGAATGTACCTTCCCTGTAGCAACATATGGATATGAATCACTGACTATCTTGCATTCCTTAAGAAATAAAATAGAGGTTTTAGAGCTGAAATGTACAGACGATTCTCAGAACACCATGGACAAGAAGACAAGAAATAAAGACATCCTAAAAATATAAACATTAAGCGAGACTGTCTAGTAAAAAGCATCTAAAAGATATAAACATTAAGGGAGAATGTCTAGTAAAAAGCATCTAAAAGATTTAAACATTATTATGAGAATATCTAGTAAAAAGCATCTAAAAGATATAAACATTAAGGCAGAATATCTAGTAAAAAGCATCTAAAAGATATAAACATTAAGGCAGAATATCTAGTAAAAAGCATCTAAAAGATATAAACATTAGGGCAGAATGTCTAGTAAAAAGCATCTAAAAGATTTAAACATTAAAGGAGACTGTCTAGTAAAAAGCATCTAAAAGATATAAACATTAAGGGAGAATGTCTAGTAAAAAGCATCTAAAAGATATAAACATTAAGGGAGACTGTCTAGTAAAAAGCATCTAAAAGATTTAAACATTAAGGGAAAATGTCCAGTAAAAAGTATCTAATACCCATTTCATCCCTACCCTGAGTGTTGAGCATCAGCCAGATGCTTTGGTCACTCCTTGCTGCACCATTCTCTTCAAACCATAATGATCTATTTGTGCCTGTACACAAGGGTTATTCAACTGGGAGGCCTAGCAAGTGGCCCATGGATCATTGCCAGTTGTACCGTGTCAATGAACTTTCTATGCTGGGACTCAGACCTCTGGCCCATGACTATACCCATTTTCAAAATTCTGAATAAACGTAGCTGAATATCCCTGCTTTAGATTCTTTACTCACCCTGAAAGAGCCCTTTAAAAAAAACCAAGCTGTGTGGAACCAGCCATTATATCTATCTGTTCTTTTCCCAACACACTGGTATGTTCTGGAAAAAATATCTCCAGGATGCTAACTACCTGGGTCCTTTGAAGTGACACTCTGCATGCAGCAAACAAGTCACCACTTTTCTCAACATGCTCTTTGAGTCAGTTACAATCATGGCAGGTGTGTGTAGCTGGTTCTCAAAGCTGCATTGTCTCAAAACAATGTAGGAGTGTATATGTATGTATTTATGTGTGTGTGTTTGTGTGTGTAAATATATATATATACTAGGTATAGCAATGGATCGTTTTGTTTCGTTTATTTTGCTATACATTTTCGTCGGCATCTATAGACGCGATTGCGACCCGAAAATTTGAAAAACAATTGTCTGTTATTCAGAAATTATTTTTCTGTGCTCTTTACGTGAAAGATAAAATCGGAAAGGTTATAAGAAGTTATTGGAGAGATGCCAGGCTTTGACCTGAGATGGTTTTGACGCGTATAAAATAAATTGATTTTTTTTTGGGCAGCACGCAGTGAATAACGGTAAGTAATTTTGTAAATATCTTTTTAGTTAGCCAGATTACTGCAAAGTGTGTTGTATTTTTGAATTCTGCGGTAATTTTTATATAAGTGTGGGAAATTTAACAAAGATTGGCGATACAGCACATGTTTTAAAAAATTGTTTAGTGGCATCACTGTTTTGGCTTTAAATCCAATAACGGTAAATAATTTCGTAAATATCTTTTTAATTAACCAGATTACCACAAAGTGTGTTGTATTTTTAAATTCTGTGTTAATTTTTATATAAGTGTGGGAAATTTCACAAAGATTGGCAATACAGCACATGTTTAAAAAAATTGTTTAGTGGCATCACTGTTTTGGCTTTAAATCCTATAATGGTAAGTAATTTCGTAAATATCTTTTTAATTAGCCAGATTACCGCAAAGTGTGTTGTATTTTTGAATTCTGCGTTAATTTTTATATAAGTGTGGGAAATTTCACAAAGATTGGCAATACAGTACATGTTTAAAAAAATTGTTTAGTGGCATCACTGTTTTGGCTTTAAATCCTATAACGGTAAGTAATTTCGTAAATATCTTTTTAATTAGCCAGATTACCGCAATGTGTGTTGTATTTTTGAATTTTGCGTTAATTTTTATATAAGTGTGGGAAATTTCACAAAGATTGGCAATACAGCACATGTTTAAAAAAAATTGTTTAGTGGCATCACTGTTTTCGCTTCAAATCCAATATGTTTTCACTAGGAGACCGTTTTTGCCGCTTTACAATTAACTTAAAATAATTATTAAATTACCTAACGTTATTTTAATCATTTTTTTTAAAAATCCACAACCATTGTAGCATTTGTTCATGCATCTGTCATTATTTAGAGCCCTTCGTATTCTCTGTTGGAGATATTTTTGCCTGATCACCCTCAAATCCCAATAATTAATTTAGGCCATCACTGGTAAGATGATTCTTTGGTAATTAACTTAGGATGCTTAGTAAATTGACAATGTTATGAGAGTTACTTTTTAAACATCCACAAACATTGTACCATTTTTTCATGAGTTTGTCATTATTTAGAGTTTACATAATTTTATGTTGGAGATATTTTTACCTGCCCATATCTTGATCACGAATTTCACAAATTCTGGCACTAAATTCAACATTTTTTGTGTGTGTGTGGATGTTGTACGAGTTAATTAATTGGGAGCATCTTTCGAAGTCAGAGTGCACCTGTCTGAGAGTTACAGAACCAACAGTCTGCATGCAAATCTAGCCAGTGAACGTGAAGATGAAGAAGATTATATATGCAGTATACACACAATAGGTCATACCACAGAAAAAAACATTTACAGTTTATGTTCAAAATGAGATGTCATGACAGTTTTCACATTTGCACCTTTTTATGTTTTATGTATCATCTGTAACGTTCTACATTGTTTACCACTTTAGTATTCTCATGAATAGTATGGAGTTGAATGCAATTTTTACCAAAGACATTATTTTGTTTCACTGCATGCTGTTAAAAGTAATGCAATAATAATGCTTAACATTTGAAATATGTAACACTGTACAGTCACATTATTTATAACACATGAAAACTGCTTTAAAATTCTAAGAGCTTATTATGAGTCTGTCATGTCTACTTCTAACATTTCCTTAATCTAGGCTGAGGCCTTCAGACCTTGCATGCAGGCACTGAAAAGTTTGGTAGACAGACCAGAGGGCTTACTGGACACACAACTTGATGCATTTGGAAATGAGATGATGGACGTGCAGCCTGAACTAAGAGACATGGAGGTGGCCACCTCGGATGAGTTTGTGGAGACAGTAAAATGTTTATTGCATGAATTTATTATTGTTCTTGAAAGACAGTTGAAATATTATTTTGATGGGACCATCCCTACTAAGTCACCAGAGTTTATAGAACTAACAGCTTCAGCTCCTACTCATAATATGCATGCTGAGCGGACTCTGGGCTTGATGGATGCCTTGATGAGAAGAGCCCCGCATGCTAACCTATGCTTCAGTGAAGCCAAGACAAAGGCTACACAAAATCACACATTGGTCTGGCTAGATTCCCTTCCGAATAATCAGCTGCAGCAATTTGTTGATTTTGCTATGAAACAGGCAATGAGGGTTAGACAGAAAACATGTGAGAGAGAGAGCAAGCCATTGAGAGGATGGCTTTACATAAAAATAATAAAGCTTGCAGAGATGCTTATGAGAAGGAGCTGAAGGCTGCAGTAGCTCAGATAGGGCTAGTTCCTGCACTGCTACAGTTGAAAATCTTTAATGATTTAGATAGTACGTCCAAAATTCATTTAGAGAGGTTTTTAACTGATAATGCAAGTTTATCAAATGTAATACTGCGACATGTTTGGCATCAAGAGGGCCAGGACTGTGTTTACTTTGAGATGGTTAGGAATGTGGGAACCACACAAACAAAAGATAAATGTAAGAAAGTTATTGATTTGTGATACTGGAGAGAACATGATGAGCCATCAAGTGACTTTTGTAGTATGAATGTTAAACAGTTTTTAGTTGACTTCGCACAGGGGGATTTATAATTTTTGTAAAATTGTATGTACTTGTGGTCAGTGTTTCTATCCTCCATTAGTATGTCTTACATGAATTAGAAGATTTTTATTATTGGTTTTGATTTATAACAAAAGAGCTGTTGAGCTCACACTGTCTCATGGGCTGGTATTATATGGAAAAGGCATTTCAAAAGTGAGCTTAGTTGCTTTACTGGCAGGTATAACAAATACTGAAGGTACACCTAATTTTGATATATGGTGTCATTTGTTTTGTGCTGCAACACATCAAATGGTTTTGAGTGTTTATCAATGTATCAGTGAGTTAGCTTATTGTATATTGTATTGGTAACTTTATTTTATATTCATTTTTAGTGTGTGACTTTTTCCTGACTGTTATTCTCTGGGTCACTGCCTCTTTTCATTTTTTACCTGTCTCTGTCTTTCGACTTGTTGCTATCCCCACTGTATGTCCTCTCCTGTGGTATTCCCTGGCTCTGCTGTCTCATGCATTCAATTTGCTCAGATCCCATATAATTTTAAGCTGTCTATGTGTGATTTTCTATTCACTAAATACAGTCCTCTGTGTGTCGACTGGTCGTGATGCATACCAGTGTAAATGTTTTGCTCTTGGATGCTGGGCAAACATGGATACTACAATAATTTTTTACTTTTTTTTATAACACAATAGCAGTTGTTTTCCGGAGAAGCTGTGGTGAATGTATAATCACATGAAATCCCACAGTATATCAATCATCCATGCTGTCTCTGTTATTAGTGTATGTCTAGACTGTTGTCTTATGTACTCCTACACAACAAGAGAGAAGCAGAGATATGTATATGAAAACAACACTGTATAACAATGATCCTTGTTGTACTATTCCACCTGCCAGATGGATGTTTCCATAGTGGCTTTATAGATATAGCAGCAGCATGTGTGAAGCTGTGGTCAATGTATAATCACATCAAAATCCCACGGTATATCAATCATCCATGCTGTCTCTGTCTGTCTGTCTACATTTTATATGAATCTATCTCAATCTCCCTTTTTTTCAAATGAAAGAACATTAGTGCTATTTATTGTTATCCCTCATGCATGCACGTTATCATTCATTTCTCACTGTGGCATCATTACTAGTTGATACTTTTAGGTGCTTCGTGTAGTAAAGACATTCACATTCATACGCTTTCTATGTTAATTTTGTCAAAAATATATTGCCAAACTGTGTCTTTTTTCTTCTGCCTTCTATACCCTAATGGGGCATTAGTCCTCAATCAACTCGCGCTGTCATTATAGTCATAGCTATTACATTTGCTCTTAGTCTTCTTCTTCTTCTTCTTGTTCACCAGCTGTACACTATGGCGTAAAGTTCTGGTTGTTCGTCCACTTGTGGACTGCAGTCCTGCTCCAGAACCTGAGTGTTGCGTATGCATCAGTTTTACAGATCTGATTCAATTGAATGCAGACTGCTGGTTCCTTGCCTCTCAGGCAGATGCACTCCGACTTCAAAAGAAGCTCCCCAGTTAGTCGACTCTTACGACATGCTTTTGGGGAGGCAGGAGGTTTATTCTTGTTTTCCCCACAATAGGGCCCCGGAACCCACACGAGGGATTTGCTCTTAACTTCACTTTCTAGCTCCCTTCTGCATGTGTTTTTATGGTCTTTATATATTTTTATGCCCCTATTGGTTCCAGTTCACAACTCATTGGCAGACAACTATAAATGTATACGGTTTTTGTTGAAAGAAAGTCAATTGATAGCCATTTTCATATGGTAATTAGGTCACGTCAACAGACATTGGCACATTTATATGATCTTTGTGTTCACCTTGTCGGGACGCACAATTTGATATGCATGTCGCCAGGCTCGCTATCGGATAACCTTACAGGTATAATGTTTTGCTTGAAAATAGTGAGCTGGCGGCCATTTTCATATGTTAATTAGGTCACGTCAACTGACATTGGCACATTTATATGATCTTTGTGTTCACCTTGTCGGGACGCACAATTTGATATGCATGTCGCCAGGCTCGCTGGCGGATAACCTTACAGGTATAATGTTTTGCTTGAAAATAGTGAGCTGGCGGCCATTTTCATATGTTAATTAGGTGCATAATGTATTATATGTTTTTAAAACGTGCATAGACAGTTAGGTCTAACTGTCCTGCTTCCAGCAATATTTGGTTGCTAAGGGATTCGTTCAGAAACAAAAAAGTGATGGCCGTAAAATCAAACATTGAGTCACTTAATCTCACTGGGTCGCAGCCGGAAGCCATGTTTTCTGGATTTTCACTACAATTTTTCTGTCGTGGTGTATGGCACTAAAATGTTAATATTTCCGCTTATAGTCGACTTACAGGCTTAAATGAGGTACCATTGGATTTGTAATTTTAATTTTTATCTAGCTGTTATAATTTTGTAAGTAAAAACTCAAAAAATAAAACTTCGCTACCATCCCTATATATACATATATAAGATCTGATCATAAGATACATATAAATTAGCCAGACAACAAACTATGCAACATATTATTGTGTCCCCATTGTTTAAATAAAGCAAATGACAGTCTGACTTTGCTAAAATGTCCAGAAATGCACTCACTGATCCAGCCTTATTGTTGTCCTTGCCACAAGCCTGAGCTGCAATGACAATATCAGCGATGATGTACAGGATAATGTAGATACCACAGTAGATTAGATCCTGGGAAACAGAGCAGTCTTAGTATCACACATCAGTAGATTCTAATATTTTTATGATCACACCATCATACCTTTTAAAACAACAACACACACACACACTATGGTGTTTCCCCGAAAGAAGACTGGGTGTATTTTATCTTTGCTTCAAAAAAATGCACTAAAGCTTATTTTCAGGGGATATTTTTTGTGTTTGTGTATAAAAAACAAAAATCTATATTTTTTCATGCACAAAATTCTACATTTATTCAAGTACAGCTTGCCATTTTCTGGAATCGGGGAAGGCTAGCCGAGACATCAAACGCATGCAGAAGTCAGATGTTTTGGCCAAAAGGTGCAAATATGGCTGTAAACAGGCACAACACCTTTGCAACTTCTGAAGAAAGAAGAAGAAAAAAAGATCTTCTTGAATCATCATATTTGAGTGATGTACTTAAATTATGAACCACATTCGTTATTTTTAAGTCCTCAACAGTGGCATTTGTACTCTAACTGGCCATTTGGCAACAAGTCTCTCATTCAAGCTGATGATCTTAACCTGTGTTTTTTTTTTTTGGGGGGGGGGGGGGGGGGGGGGGTAGAACATATTAAAAGCATCTTGAAAAATTGTACTAAAGCTCATTTTTGGGTAGATCTTAATTTTGGCAAAACACAGTACACCCAAGACTGCAGGTGTAGTTATGGTTGCCCCAATCATAACTTCTCTGGAGGTTGAATGGGGTGTCTGGGAACTGCCCTACAGGACTGTGTAATCTCAGGGTGGTTAAACCTTCACGTAGCAGACAGGAGTGGGAAACAGAAGGAAGGACAGAACAATAGCACATATTTAACCTATGACAAATATTGTGCCGCAGGTCCTTTACAGATGAACCTCCCATTTCAACAAGCCAAAATGCCTATCAGTTCCCTGCCAACTTTCCCAGCAATAGAACATTCATGCCCAGGGTGTCTTAAATATCTTTGATACCGTGCTGGTCAGCCCCTGCCTTTTTCTCAAGGAACCATAGTCTTCACTAGTGTTCTCTGAAAACCTTTGGGGCATTTAATATGGCAGAAGTATTTCGGTTCACGAAAAAAACAAAAACTGTTTAACTCTGTGACCCCGAGAAGACTAATTCTAGTCACTTCCATTTGTGACATAGTCCTGTAAATGCCGATATATTGCCATGTCTGCAGTGACCTGTTCTCAAAAAACCATAGTTAAATTCTACTGTTTGTATGTGTGCTTGCACATTTTTTAATAGGGCAGGATATGAACAGAGTATATAAATATAACATTGTGGGGAAAAAGTGGGGGAGCGGGAGGTCCTTAAGACCCAATGCATTTTGTAAAGCCAAGTTGACATCAAATTTTCCCATAAACCCCACTGAGAGGTGGGGGTCAATGTAAACTAACCCATTACATGTTTTTTAGGCTCCAGGGAATGTATTCCATTTAATGCTTCACTCTGTTCATGTTTATTGACTGCCACTTTATAAATATTTACATAATTCAACAAACAAAACTAACAAAAATAATTAAAAATTCGGGTAAATAATTTTTTTTTTTTAATATCTATTTTTGGCTTGTGTAATATGTGTTATTTTTAAAGTATTTTTTCGGGAATTACCTAAGCATGGCACCCCAAACCCCTTTTATCTTAACACCCCCCCCCCCCTTTTTTTGTTTTTAGCATTTACCGGAAGAAAGGGTTAAGAGTTGTCCAATTCAATATTCATTTAGGAAGTATGTATTTTTTAATCTCCTTGGTCCTTGATATTCTGAATATATTTCAGTAATTTTTCTTTGAGAAGAAGGTATTTAAACAAAAAATGCATTTTTTTTTTCATCTTCTCAACCCATGATATTGTAAGAATATTTTAGTAACACTTCAGTTAAAAAGAAGAATGAAGAATGTATCTTTTAATCTGCTTGGTCCATGATATGGTAAGAATATTTCAGTAATGTTACTCAAATATTCTTACAATATCATGGACCAAGCAGATTAAAAGATACATTCTTCATTCTTCTTTTCAACAAAATTTGTTACTCAAATATTCTTACAATATCATGGACCAAGCAAATTAAAAGATACATTCTTCATTTTTCTTTTTAACTGAAATGTTACTCAAATATTCTTACAATATCATGGACCAAGCAGATTAAAAGATACATTCTTCATTTTTCATTTTAACTGAAATGTTACTCAAATATTCTTACAATATCATGGACCAAGCAGATTAAAAGATACATTCTTCATTTTTCTTTTTTACTGAAATGTTACTCAAATATTCTTACAATATCATGGACCAAGAATATAAAAAATACTGACTTGTGTGCTGCCAATCACATCTGAAAAAGATGTTTGTCAATACCATGTTCCCATGCTGTTCCTCGTTCTCTTTCGCTCAGTATCCCCCTGCATCTTTTCCCTGCCTCACAGTTATGATTGGATTTCTTAATAATGGTGACAAATATGTGAGTTAATTTTTCTTTTAAAACATCTTCACTATTTATTTGCCCATTGTGTTATAATGTTTCTATAAAACCACATCTTTGAATTCCATATAATTTCTCACTTATCTACTGACTGTCCATGGTTCACTTCCATTCATTATGACTGACTCTGCTCTCAAAAACTGGCATTTATTAACATACATTATTAGCTAATGACAATTAACCCAAACAAATGTATTGTTAATTTATAGCACATATTGCTAGGAAGTGCATGTTCCAAATAAGAGATACATTTTAATAAGTCATGAAGAAAAATTACTTACAATGAAAACCCAAGGCAAGTACCTCATGAACATCCTGCTAGTGATTGTGAATGTGTTCAGGAGCCAAGAAAGCAGCAGTGTCAGGAAAGCTGACATGCTTACAAACTCAAAATAGTTGTAGCTAGATGCATATAATTCGTCACATCCTAGAGACCTTCCTGATGCCACACAGATGAAGGCAATCAAAGACAGAACCTGAAAACAAGCAGCTGTTTTTGTATTGTTAACAAAAACAATGTTCTTAGGAACATAATAAATCTAGATAAGTTAACTGCATTTGTTTTTCCTGACATCATAAACATCGCATTTATTGTTTAAAAAAGATCCCTTTTCACTCCTTTTAGGCGTATCAGGCATATGGGAAGAGTGCCCATACTTTTACAGACCATCGGCACTAGGTGGGTAATGTGGTCAACATAATGCCGGCTGTCTTTACTTCCCCAGCACAGTCATCCTGGTACCCATTTTAGGCCAGGTCGACCTGCGATACCCATACCATGATAAAAACCCACGCAGCCAGCAGTGGGTTTTGATCGCAGTGTGTTAAAATTATGAGTCAGACTCACAACGCCTAAGCCTCGGACGCGCATTTATTGTTTGTCTGTAGTTTTACTAGGCAATTTTACATTCAGCTTTTTGTCATTTATTTTTAGCTTTCGCCGGCTGTGAAAACTTGTTCGTCCACTTCTGGATTGATCTTTTTCCAGAACTTGACTTTTCCATGTATATCCATTTTACAGATCTACCGTATCTGTACGCAAACTGTTGGTTCCTTACTCTGACTTCAAAGCATATAGGTCTAATCAGTCACCTCCAACAATGTGCTTGTTGGGGGTGCAGTGGGTCTTCTCTCCCCCTCCCCCCATCCCATGGGGCCTCAGAACCCACACAGGGACCACTGCTTTCTACACAGTACAGCCTATATATCAATGTCAAAATCAGTGCCATCTCGCCTGCAGTTAACTTGGAACCTCAGTATGTCAGGTTTCACAACCCCTAAGCAGCACATGTAGATGAGATAAGGTATTAACAAAAATAATAAAAGGTCTTGGTACATCACTCTCTGTTGCTCTCAGCATAACTTGTTCAAAAAATGTCTGCATTTTGTCAACACATTAGTTTTCTCTTTTCTATATGCTATAGGTTCATTATATGTTTTAGTTTCTCATTTTTGTACTGTTGTTTTTAAATGGTTCTAAAGTGCTGACAATCCAGGTAATTTCTCACAAGACCACAACATTGAAGTGTGTCCATTTTAACGATACTCTTTCATGTCATCTCCTTCTTCTATGGCACATTTTCTCTAGTGAACCATCGACCCTCAAGCAACTCATGCCTAGCAATTTTTTTCCCTCCAAATTCTGCAGTTGAAGTTTAACAGAAAAGAGTAGCTAACCTAAAATCCAACTCTATCCTTTGTCCCCTCTTATGGCATACTTAAGGTGCAGTGTTACTTTTCTTTGCTTTCACTAAAGAGTCCCAGTAACATGCAGGCAATTATAATAAGTAGCTACTTGTATTTCATCACTATTTGTTGTGACTGACTAAAACTAAGGTTTTTCAAAGAGGAGATGGCAACTTACAGCTGTGGCTATCTTCAAGATACTATTGAGAGAGAGCACATAACTTTTGTCTATTGGCATCTTCCATAAATAGACTATATTGCTGGTCTCTGTTGTCTGGGTTACTGTTGTACTAGACTGAACCTCCGCCATTTTAAGCAACTATGAAATCTGTGGAGAGATTAAATGATCAATAGCAATTATCACCTTTCGCTTTTAAGTTATAAATCTTTTAATCAACATTATTTTTCCACTATCATCATCAAGTTTTGTGGAACGGAACAGTTTATAGTCTATGCTTAACTGGTGGCATAAGTTACTGTAAAATAATGAAGCAATATTCGACCGGCTGTTGTTTGTGTTTAAGATGTCTGATAAAGCGGGGCAGTTCTATCGCAGTTAAGGTCATTTACAGACTATCTTTTTGGGGGGAATGTTTTACTCTTTTTGTTAGGTCCCCTTTTATGAGTCGTAGCAGAATTAATTTTTCAAAAATATCCTGTATAACCCTGTGAGTTATAATAGGGATATACAGTGTTCATTGAGTTCTCAGAGTATATATTTTTTTATTTTATATATCGTGTAGTTAATTATATGAGACAAATATTTAATTTGTAGTGTTTCCCATATTGCTTCGATTTTGGTTGTGATTATGATAGAAACTTACTATGAATAACAAGAC